AGAATTGCAGTTGATGCCAAAAGGAAAACTCTGCTCAAAGCAGGACATTGGCTGACATGGTCCCTTCTGGCAAGATGCACCTAAATCAAGGTTCCTTGTGTGTACTTGTCAACTGTGAATAAGTTACAAAGGAAGAATGACTGCTCAGATTGAGTTTCTCCTAGTGTTACTTATCATTTAGCACCTATCATTTCCTTTCTTCATTTTTTATGTGCTATCCATCCTATGGATTGTGAGTTTAACAGTCTAGCAGTTTCAGTTGCGCCATGAGTCAAAAGCATAAGCCATTAGGAGTAAGTCCACATATTTGAATACCAAGAGAGTAAAAAGATAACCTGACCTGGATGTCAGGAGACTCGGTGCTCTTCCTCACTTCAGGACATGCTGATTGCCTTCTGGGGATAAGCAGGGACTAAGTTTACCATTTCCAAAATAAGAGGTTGAGCCCCATGTGGTCTAAGATTTCTTTCTTTTAAAGAGTCATATTGGTGAGATTAAGTTTTACCACATGGTATAAATCTGACAGATTTATACCACCCTACTCCTCAGCCCCACCATTTTCACTATCCTTTGTTTTTTATTTTGTTATTTTTAGGGTGATTTTGTTCTTACATTTTCGTTGCTTCCTTTTCCTCATCCTGGTGTTATTTTCTTTTTCATCTCCTTGGCGAACATGTCCACTTCCCTTCTCCTCCTTCCTTAGATTGGCCCCTACTAGCCTGCTACTAAAAATGCCCTAACTAATTGAAAAAAGGAAAGGTGGAAGATAGATGGAACAAAAACATCATCCTCTTTCCACTTTGATACATTGTGTCCAGGATTTCCTGACAGGCCTGTCTCCTAGTACCATCCTCCTTAGAGGGCTCCACCCACTTCCAAAATGGCATGTGCCTCTCTTTGTTCCCTAGGTTGGGTTGGATACTGTGTGCCAACCCTCCCCCACCTTCCTTTCCCTTTTGATTGTTAAGCATGTCATTATTGTTATCTCAAATCAAGAACCCTGGCATCCAGAGAGCTACCTTCCCTGGTTTTGCTCACTAGCATACATTTCATTCTTCATCTCTGCCTTTGGCTGAGTCATCTTATCTCACTGTCCCTTGTGCATTCTTCAAATCCTGCATATCCTTCCACCCCCACACTGCTTACTACAAACGAAAATTTCTCCCTTCCCACTAAACAAGCCAAATCCCAATTTTTTTTTTCCAACTTCATCCTCAAATAATTTTCTGTGAGCAAGGAGTATAAACAGGGCCATACTGATGTTAATGAGTCTTCATAGTGGGCTGGTCTCCTGCCCCCATCCCACCCCCACTCCTGACTGCAGGCTATTCTGGGGCACCTGTCAGTGGCGGTCCTGACTGTTGGTCTCCAGGAACCCAGACAGGACTTGACTCTCACTGATTCATACTTGAAGTGTTCTGTTCCTTGCAGCCAGGTAATTTCCTGTAACATATATATGGACAAAGAGTTTTATTGGGCAGTGTATCCTAACTTACCAAGGAAAAAACCCAATTAGTAAAAAATTGTAAGTGTGTGTCAGTTTCTTTATGGATAAAAATCTGTGCATAGTCTATATCAAAATATGTATTTTATAAAGCATACTCAATATGTAACTTTAAAAGGCATGAGTTATAGCTGCAATAAACAATGTCTTAAGTGTAACTTTTTTTGGTATTATTTTATTTAATTTATTTATATTTTACATCATTATTCATTTTTAAACAATGTTTGTTCCTCCACACCCCTGTCAAGTGTAGTCCCCACAGAATTTCTTTCACCAATCCACCCATGCACCATCACCACAGTCCCCTGTGTTCCTACCTCCTTCTCTCTGATCCCTCTCCCTCCTCCTCCCCTGCAGGATGTCTCTGTTTATAATTGTCTGTTTTTGCTTTGTTTTGTTGTGTTTTGTATTGTTATATTTTTCCCCCTGATGTCTCATTTGGTTCCCCTATATTCCTCCTGTAAGTGAAACCATCCAATATTTTTCTTTTTCCTTCTGACTTATTTCACTGAGCATAATTCCTTCTAGCTCCATCCATGTTGCTGCGAATGACATTAGTTTATCTTTTTGATTGCTGAATAGTATTCCATTTTGTATGTATGCCACATCTTCTTGATCCAGTCCTCTATTTTTGGGCATTTGGGTTGTTTCCATGTTTTATCTATTATCAATAGTGCTGCAATAAACAGGAGGTACAGGTATTCTTTTAAATCATGTTTTTATGTTCTTTGCGTAGATCTCTAGGAGTGGAATTGCTGGGTCATATGGTAGCTCCATTTTTAGTAGACTGAGGAACCTACGTATAGCTTTCTATAGTGGTTGGACCAGTTTGTGCTCCCACCAGCAGTCTACAAGAGTTTCTTTTCACCACATCCTTGCCAACATTTGTTGTTGCTAATTTTTTTTGATATGTGATATTTAAGTGTAACTTTTACTTTATTTAGTTCAGTAGTACAAAGGACCACTTTGCTCTTGCTGAGAATAGTATTGTTAAATAATATTTTTAATGGGAGCAGTGTGATTTTTTTATGTCAGTTCTGATGAGATCATCAGTTTTTATCTCATAAAGTGGATACTAAAGAGGTTGTGTTCAGGAGCATGGAAGATGTGTTGGCTATTCTAGTTTCTCATAGTTTCTTTAAAGCAAACTTTGGGGCCACCTGTTTTGAGAAGGCTAGTTTTGTTAAAATTGGATTATATGAGCTCTAAGCCTGCTTAACCAGGCACACGTGAACTTCAGTACACTGCAAATCCCTGGCCCCACTACACACCAAGGGTACCTTCTCCCTTGAAGCCCTCTTGAGCTGTCATTGAGACATTTACCTCTGGCCATGTATTGACAGGAGGAGGAGGTCAGTATTAAATACTGGTAAACTTAATTTATAAGCTTGGCACTGATTTTCTTTTTGTATTAAAAAAATTTATACATTTTTTCTTTCCACCACCCACTAGGTCATCTCATGTACTTTGGGAATCATTGATCTTGTCACTGCTTCCTGGCATATTCTGAGTCTGACATGTTCTAGGATCAACCTTAGCCCTTTTTTCACTCCCTGCCAGTAGTCTTCCTGTCAGTCCTTCTTAGGCACAGCTGTTCTCAAGAGGTTGAGGACAACAGTTTTCTCGAGACCTCCTGGTCTCGCCCTCTGCCATTCCCAGTCCTCTTCCTCAGGATCTCTCAAGAAAAATTTAGTTGTACACAGTTGATTTTCTGCTTAATTGACTTGAATTACCTCAGAAAATAGATGGGTAGAAAGGAAGAGGTTAGCATGTACCTGGTGTTTTCAGGAGCCCATCTTATACTATCCTCAACAATCTGATAGGGCAGGTATAATATGAAGCTCTGAAACTCAGAGATGTTAACTAATTGGCCAACATAGTAAAGCTGGTAAACAGTAGAACTGGAATTCAAACTCTGGCCTCATTGAACATATAGTCCACTTATACTTCTATCAGAGATTTAGTAATGGAGAAATCTGGCAGGGGCTTCTCAGCAGGAGTCAATATGGAAAATTAGTCTTTTAACCCCCCCCCCCCAAAATCTTATGTCAGGAATTTTTCCATGGTAGTCCATCTGTCCATCCATCCATCCATCCATCAAAATCCAATAAAAAAAAGTTTTAATTACTCTGAGCCAGGCATTGGGGGTATGTATTGGGGATCTAGCAGTAAGGGAAACTCAGAGGAGGCTGAGATAAAGAATCTGTGGTGAGAGTGTGGGGTACTTATTTGGCTAGGGGGCTGTGAAGTCAATGGGAGAGCTGTATAAGGAGGAAAATGAGGAGGGGTCAGGAGATCAGAACTAGGGAGAGCAGTATTTTAGGATTAATGTGTATGGTTTAGGATAGAAACTCTGGAGAACTTTTTAGAGGTGGAGATCCATTTTAATATCCTGCTGTTACAGGGTACACGTGTAGGCCAGGGCATCTATGTGGTGGGCACCACCTATAGCTGTCCTTAGGCCCTGTGATCTTTCTTCCTATGTTCTTATAGCCCTTCTTTTTGAACAGAAAATAAATAAAATTCTGAGTGCTTGCTCTGTTGAATTGATTTATGTTTGGTTAAAGATCTCTTCTCTGGAGGGTTTAGTTGTGTCATTTATAGTTGATTAAAGTGAAACCCTTGAAAAGGACCTTTTATTTTATGACATTAGTTTCCTTTTCAAGGTCAGATCAATTTATATTATTTCGTTCATCATGTCTTTGCTGGAAAGCCAACTCAAGTAAGCTTGAGTCCTGCCTCTGGGCCCTCTGGGATCTTATTCTTCTCTCTGCCCCAGATGTTCAGGACCTACACAAAGTCATGCAGATGTACAAATCTAAGTTTTTGACGATAGCTAAAAAATTGTTTCACAGTAGTAACACAGCATGGATGGTTTCATGTCATGGTAAATTCCATAAATATAGAGCCTCTTCTGCCATATTTATTGCTGAGTCCCTTGAGGCCAGAACAGTGTCTGACACATATTAGATGTTTGATAAATATTTTTTGAAAAAATGGATAAATGAGATTTTTTTAAGGTAGAGAATAATGTATTATATTTTATTTGTCCATTGTCATTGGTATCTTTCAGCTCATATTCTTTTTTTTTTTTTTAAAGAGGCATGTATTTTTATTTATTTATTTATTTGTTTGTTTGTTTACACATGCACTGGGTACAGTCAGAAGCGCGGGAGAGTGAGAGAATTCACCAGAGCCAGAGCGGGGAACAGAGCAGGCAGATTGACGAAATACACTGCTGAGGGGAGCAGCGGGCGGCAGGAGAGGTCTGCACACCATGTGGGACCCTCCTCCGGTGGCCGGGGAGCAGCCGGGGATGGAACTGGCGCCACAGAGGCCTCGGGCAGCTTCGCAACCCAGCGCTGAACCGCTGCGCCACCGGGGAGGCCCTCAGCTCATATTCTTTTAACAAATGTATTTTGCAGTAAAGGAATTATTTACCATGTTAAGTTGAGTAGAAGTCTATGCTTACGTGATTACATTTCTTTTGGTTCAGAGGAAGTAAGACCCTGAAGATAATTTTGCTGTACTGATGACAGCTGAGACATACCTCCATACTCAGACCAAGGCTGGGCAGATCCCTTTTATGTCTGCTACAGGTACTGAATTTTTTTCTTTAAGTGTGGTGGGCAATATACCAAATGTGTTGTATTGGGGATCTTTCCCCCCCTCCCCATTCATTTCTATTTTTGTGTTTTCGGGGAAATGTAAGCTTTAAGTTTCTTATTTATATACACTTAACAAAACAAATGTGGTTTTGTGAGTTCTCTCATATATAAGAAGCCTCATGACTGATTTTACTATTCTGTTCCAGTCTGTTCCTTTCTTAGAAATGAAAGTTACATTGAACCAAGGGTATCTTTAATGATGTACCAAAATATTGAAGTTGAACACAAATTCCAATTTGAGAAGGCTTTAAACTTGAGAAAATGTCACAACTTAATAACTTTTCACCCACTAACTAGTGCTACAAAATCTCAAACAGCATAGGGGTGCAGTGGATGGCTATGGCTTGGGAAGCTTTTTGGGTCTTTCTTTTGATAATTTCTGGAAATTCTTTCTTAAGGAAGTGAATATATATGGCTTTTATACCCAGCAATGTATGTGAATTTTAGCTGTTGGTGGGACAATCAAATATCAGTTTCCTCCCTTGTACTTGAATATCACTAATATTTTTTTTCAAATGGGGCACAAAATAGCATATATATGTATATATGCTTTTGGTATTTGGTATTTTGCAAAGTTTTGGTATTTGAAGAAATGAACACAATACATGTATTCTGTTCTTTCCCATTATCTGGAAAGACGTTTCCAAACCTCAAAACAAGTAAGCAAGGTTACTGAGCTGTATATAAATCCCGTGCTTACTACAATTACAGAAGAAAAATATTTGTAGATGGTACTTATAATAGCTAATCCAGAAATTTTTTTCAGAAAGATTTTTTTTAATAATAGATAAATTATTATTAGAATATTTTGTCATTCAGCTTTCCAAGGAAAAACAAAGTAAAGCAAATGTGGGAAACTAAGACCCATCCAGAAATGAAGTGTTCTGAATCTCAAGATTCTAACTTTACAATACAGTTAACTGATGAGATTATTATACACCTATTTGGTTGCACATATCATGTATTTAGGCCTTATGCTAATCTTTAGGCCTTGGTAAGCACACATTAACCCCATTTTCTGTAACAAATTAGTCTGAATGCTGAGCTGGCAAACAGCTGCCATGGGTTGCATGAGAAAAATAATTCAAGAAATGAGAAAATGTTATTGGTTCCTTAAATACTGGAGGTCAGGACTTTGAGAAGACAGGAAACAAAGTGTTTTGGGGTTTTGCCAGGAGGCCTCATCAGTTTCAGCTGTGGATAAAGGCCCTCATCTAACCTCAGGGTGTTTTTTTTTTTTTTTTTTTTTCCTTTCTGCTTCTATGTAAGTGATCATGGACAGATTTCTTCAAAGGAAATCACTGGAAAGACATCAGAAATGATGTCAACTTTCTTCCAGTGTCACATCACATGTACTTCTGAGGGTGTTTTCTTCTTGGTTACCTGCAGTTAACGGTCTTCCCCAGGCTCTCATCCATTAGGTAAATATGGGTCAACTTTTCGGATTTAACATAGAAGAACCACAGAAAAATAGGATGAAGCTATGTTCTTAAATCCACCACTGGTTTGCATGACAGTAAATGTTTCTACTTTTGCTCAAGAATTTCCTTTGAATGGATAGTAAGATATGGAATGGCTATACCTCACTCAAAGGGTTAGATGTGTCACACTGTCAGAGACACAGTCTTTCTTAATCAAATAATGTCAATGCTTGAAGCAAACTAGTGTCTTCTGATTGATTTAGGCAGCTTTGGTTATCACCCCTTTAATTAGTTGCTTCAAGTGAGGTTCATATTGTGTTTTTGTAGCACAAGACAAGTCAAACATCTCAACCAAATAATATTTTGTAGATTTTGGCAAGGGTGGATATTTCCTGTATTTTCTGGAAAGACTGTTTTCTGACTACTTTTTTCTACCATTTTCTTGATGCTGTGACATATTTATTGTGACTCAATCATCCAGCCAAATTCACTGCTGGATAATTCCCAGAAATTTGGCAAACTTGCCAAAGTTTATTTAATTTCCATTGACTGGTACCATTTCAATCTTGGGTTCTTGATGTAGAGAAAGTCTGGACTGAAGTGAAATGAATGTGTTCTACATATTCCTATTAATAGATTCACTTCAGAAATGCAATGCTGGGCACTTTGGGAAGCTCAATTTTTTTAAAAAATGGATGGATCTGTATGGAAAAAACATGGGAGATTATTAGCTGCTAAGTACAAATTATGAAATTGTTATTTCTCAAGTGATCAGAGCTATAGGAAGAAGTGGAATTTCACAAAATTGTGAAATTTATCCCTCCATGAGTCTCCCTCTTCCTCCCCATCCTGTCCTATAGCTCCTGGTCACCAGAGTTTAGGCAGAATGTGGAAAAAGAAGTCCATCACTAAGGCAGAGTTGATCTTCCTCAGCTTTCTCCTATATGAAGCAGTGGTGATTCATGCCTTCCTCTGCTGTCACACTGTCAGCATCCACTAATCATAGCCCCATGATCACAGGACTTGTGCACATAAACAATTTCCAGGAGGTACAGAACAGCTCAGGGACCTCTCAGGCATAAACACTGGTTATTCTGTAATTCATTACAACCCCCTCCTCATCATCTTGACATGTGCTTGAAATAATAGCTTTCCTTAAGATGTTTGAACATGTCAATGCACTCGATCCTTCCACTGTTCTTGTACATACATTTTTGTCTCATTAGGTTTCCTTCAAATCTTGGGCTGTTCTGATGAAGCTCAGTGAAATTGTTCTTGACGAATATCAAGGGGATACAGTGATGAGATTTCAAACAGAAGCTAGTTCCTCTGGTGCTTTGCATTTAAGTGTTTGGGAGGACCCAGAGTGCAAGAGTAAGGACCTTTACTGCTATTGTTAAGCACACTGCATATATTTAGTGTTTAAATTTGTGTATTTCTTTTAACACTAGTAAGTTAGGTCATTTAACTCCCACTCCTCTTCAAACAGATGTCTTCATCAAACTAAGTTCCCCCAGTCAGCCTGTTTTCCGGCCCAAGGCAGGAGACAATAACTTCTAGTTAACCTGATATAATCGGTTTCTGCATTTAGTAAATGCATTTTTATTGAATGCCTATTGTGCCGTGCATTGCAATAGGCACTTGAGATTCTACACTTTTGCTTCTATGGGAGTTTTAGAATTTAAAAATAAATTTTCATTTGAAATCATAGTTGTCCAGTGCCTGAAATCTCTGTTGGGTTGTTACAATAAGAGTTGGTAGCATTTATAAAGTTTTTTTTCATAGCATTAACCTTCAAACATAGAAGAAAGACTTACGTATTACTTGTATGTGTCAGTTAGGTATCCCTAATGGTTAGAAAAAGAGAAGGTTGTCTGTGTTGGTTCTTCTGGTGTCAGGTGTTACTAGGGATTATTAGACCTTTAAGTGCTGTTTAAAAACTAAGTGAAAATCAATAATTTCTCACATTTTAATACACACCTGTAAGCCTGTCCCCTCAGTGCTCCCAACAGACCTATGCAGGTATTGAGATTATTCCTTTTTACAAAAGAAAACTCAGGCTCAATATGTTAACTTGATTTACCCAAAATAAGTTAGCCCAGATCTGATGTAGGACCTGGGCTTGATTCCGTGATGTAGTACTTTTCCTCTTTTTTATGCTAGTTAACGAGAATGTCAGTCAAGTGTACAGACAGGCCAAATGTTTTATTTAGGATCATTTATGATATTGATGTGTTATTAAGTATGCTTCCTACGTATCACATGCTTGAGTCAACTGCCGACATTATGTGAGAGGACACCAGGGGAAGAACTTTCAAATCATTAAACTATGCCTTCGCAAGTCATTATTTATTCTAATTATACTTTTTTTTATGCTCTGGGAACTAATAATAGTTTTAACTATTAATGAATGATACTGTGAAAATCTAATTGCAATGAACAGATCGTTCATAGAAAGAATGGATCAAAGAAAATATTGAAATGTCCTAGTAATCAGCAATATATAAATTAAAATGATAAAGTAATAAGAAATGAGATAGCAAAAATCAAAACCCAGTAAGTATCCTTATGAAATGGATCGTATATTTTTCTGGTGTCATTTTATATTAGGAGAGATGGTTAGGAAAGCAGTTTGTCATTATCAAGTGCCAGAAAAATTTCAGAGTTCTTTACCCTGTAATCCCAATTCTGTGAATCTATCCTAAGGGGCATTCCAGAATAAGGGGCATGATTCACACATGAAATATCAGAAATAGCACTAATATCCAACAATAGGATTATGGTAAATTAATTTAATTTTTTCTTCGACAGAATTAATGGCCATTAAAAAGATTAATAGAGTGATAAAATAAACAGATTAGGATACAATGTTAACTGAAAACACAAAATGGAAATGCATTATAAAATTATCTTACAAATACAAACAGTAAAAAAGCAGATGCAAAGGGGAAAAAAAGGCTAGAGGAAACTCAACCTAATACTAACAGAGGTGGAGTTGGGGTCATGGGACTTCTTGGTGGTTTTTTCTTTTTCTAATTTCCAAATTTTCAGCAATGTTATTTATATTGCTTTTATTCAAATTATCAATAAAAATATGTCTAATTGAGTTGTTCTCCACAGCTGTGTGGAGGCTCACCGGTGGGTTTGGAAGTGAGTGGGAGGAAAGGGGTGGAGTTAGGGCTAGCAAGCAGAACATGTCACAGAAAGTTCTGGCTGTCCTCTCCACATAGCTGCCCACAAGGAGGGATAGTTACTGAGAGCTGTGTGTTCTGCAAAAAAGCTCTGTAGGGATATTCATTAACAGAAATACTAATAAAAGCTGCTTTTATCTGTTTATTCATCTGAAATACTTAAATAGTAATATTTTCCTGACTTTGCTGTGTTGCTATCAATGCAGTTAATATACATGAAACTGTGTTGTGTGTCAAATGCCTCATTCTATGTTAGTTACTATCATTTAAAAATAATAATAACTTACCTTAATTTTGGTTTCCTTATCTGAAAAATAGC